GATATGACATATATGGGGTCTTCAATAGGAGGATAATGTGCTAACTAGTAATCCAATACTAGCTTATCAATGCTTCAGATTACAATCATATGATTTTGGGTAATTGGGTGACCTTTGTAATATTCGTTGTTTGAAAACCAATGTAGTTAAGGTTAATCAAACTCAATGTTTGTTTGATTTTAATTTAATTTGTGATTATAAGTCCGATAGGGTTTAAGGAGGCACTAAGTGGATCAAGAATTGAGTTGGAGAAGTGAAATTTGAAGTCATCAAAATAATTTTGGAAGTGTCACATCATTGAGCTCTCAGGAGGGGAGGTGAATTTAAACATGTACATCGGAGCTATATGGCACCATCTTAGCTCCAAGGCTTCCATAGTTAGATTCTAGGGGAATCTAGAATTTTCTCTAGGAGCACTGCAGTGTTGAGGAATAGCACTACGACGTCGAGGAGGGTAGCGCCATGGTGTCAGGAAAGATTAATGGTTTGTATATATTAAAAAAATTAAACCATTTTCCATTACGCTCATCCAGCCTTTACTAGAAAAGAGAGTAGGAGAAGATGAGAGAGAGAGAGAGAGAGAGAGAGAGAGAGAGAGAGAGAGAGAGAGAAGAGGGGACTTGGCAATCAAAGCTCAAAATTCATCTATCGACCCGATTAAAGATATTATAATGTACGATGTAGACTTCTGAACTTTTATCTTTGATTTAAATTCCATTAGTTTTATAAAAACTTATGAATAAAATTATATTTTTCTCAAACTTCATGACATTTTCATTGCATAACTTTTAATATGTTGTTATACACTTTATCCTGAATATTTTGACTTTATGACATCATATTTTTACTGGTTGATTTTCCCTACATGAATTTTATAGTATATAATTTGATTGAAGATTTTTTAGTAATTACAATAGTAGTATAAAATTCTTAAAATAATATCCCTTTAAAGTTGGAAGTTAAATAGGAAAAGAGTTTAGTGGGTAAAATGTTATAGAAGCAATGTGACTTTTAACAAGAAATTCATGCTTTATTTATGAGTTATGAATATATAATTTTACTTTAAAATTATGGGAGCTGGAGTATAGGTTGCGGCATGGTACTAATGTTTCTCAAAATCAATTTGGATTCATGACAGGTAAGTCTACTAAGGAAGCCATACATTTATTGAGAGGTTTGATGGAGAAGTATAGAGAGAATAAGGCGGATATACATATGATATTTATTGATTTAGAGAAGCATATGATAAAGTTCCAAAAAAAGTGTTATGGAGAGTTCTTGAAAAGAAAGGAGTTAATAACACTTATATTCAAATCATTAAAGATATGCATGCAGAAGATATTACTTGTGTTCAAACACAAGGTGGTTTGACCACGTATTTTCCTATTTCGGTTGGATAACATCAAGGATCATCCTTAAGCCCATATCTTTTTTGATTTAGTGATGGATGTTATCACTGGAAATTTACAAGAGGATGTACCCTTATGTATGCTTTTTGTTGATGATATTCTTCTTGTTGATAAGTCTAGGAAGGGAGTTGAAGGTAAACTTAAATTATGGAGGTCAACCTTAGAGTTTAAAGATTTCCGCTTGAGTAGATATAAAACTATATATATATATATCTATCTATCTAGAGTAGATCTAAAAATATATATATGGATTATAATTTTAGTAGTAATAGACCTAGTGTGGGGATTGTGACTTTGGGCGATCAAGTCATTAATAAAAGTGTATGTTTAGATATCTTGAATCTATTGTTCAGAGTGATTGTAAAATAGATGAGGATATTATATGCATAATTCAAGTTGGATGATTGAAGTGGAGGAATGCATAGGGCTTGTTGTGTGATAGAAAAGTCCCCATCAAACTTAAGGGAAAATTATATAAGATGGTGGTGAGACCTGCAATGCTTTATGTTGTTGAATGTTGGTCATTAAAAGAGAAGCATAATACTAAGTTAATTGTTGCAGAGATAAGGATGCTCAGGTGGATGAATGGCTTTACCCTTAGAGATAATATACGAAATGAGCATATACGTGAAATAGTTGGAGTAGCTCCAGTGAAATATGAGATTAGAGAAAGTCGTCTTTGATGGTTTGGTCACATAAAACGGCGGCCTTCCGATGACCCAATTCGGAAAGTAGAGGTATTAGATTTGACTTATGTTAAGAAAGATAGAGGTAGACCTAAAATGACTTGGTTAGAAAATATTAAAAGTGATATTTCTTTATTAGATTAAAATGAGATTTGACTTTTAACATAACACAATGGAGGAAAAAATATTCTTGTAGTTGATCCCACGTAATGGGACAAAGGCTTGATGTTATTGTTGTATTAAATATATAATTTATTTATCGTTGCATTTGCATTTTTATAGTTTATAGTATTGTTTTGGGGATATTCTGATATATAAAAAGTATACTTTCTGATATATTACAAGAGCCCTATATTTTCCATTTTGGCTCCATTTATCTAGTGTGAATGTAGAAGGGATTATGACCCCACTTACTAAAAGTGGTTGTGGGAGATTATATGGCACTATTATCTTCTGATTCTAGCCTCACTTGCTAAATAACCATGTGTGAAAGGTTAAAAAGAGGCATACATAGAAGTAGAGTTATAAGCAAGTATAAGGACATGTATATGATAATCATTATATTAAATGTATTAATAGTTTAGTGAATCAAACATAAGTAATATGCTAAATTGAATGTTAGTAATTTTTGATTTTTTGTATGAACCGTGATAAGATGTGAAAGCCAAGTGCTAGTGAATCTTTGATAGCAAGTATTCTATGATGATAGTAAGTGTGATGTAAGGTATTGAAACACTATGTGAAATTTGTTTCAAAGGTAAAAGTGAAAACTCTGAAATCAAGTAAACCCTGAAAACTAAGAAAGTGTTATTTTGTTAATACTTTGTTTATTCTTTATAAGTCATTATATTTGTTTAACAATATATAATATTTTAATTTGGGTATTGATATATGTAATGAGCTAGGGAAAGAAGTATGTTGAACTCCTTATGCTCATTCTATGATATTTTTTGATATTTCAGAAAAAGAAAAAATCTCTTCTATCTCTTGTAATAATGTGAATATAATACTCATTGTGGCACCAATCATTGCATGAAGTTTATTTTATAATTGAGTACATCCTTTTATAGCAAATCAGACTTTAAATTTATCAACACTTTCAATTGTTTTATAGTTCATTGAAAAGATTCATTTGCATCAAACTAATTTTTTTTCTAGTTGAAATTCAAAAACTTCTCACGTACCATTTTTTTTCTAAGGCAAATATATATTTTTTCATTACACCTTTTTCCACTCAAGTGTTTTAGAACTTCATAATCATTACTTGAAATATGCATTTTTTTTAAGAAAAGTGATGAAAACATGAAATCTAAGTGAAAAACCTTCATAAGCAATGTAAGTATAGTTCGAGCGTTCGGTTCTTGACACCACTCGTTGCCTTGCCATAATATGATAGTAGACACTGATATCATCATCTATAAATTTATTTTCAATAATTTGTACATCATTGGTGCTTTAATTAGGTTTGAATCCTTAGGTATATTAGAGATATGTTGATTGCTCCATTTGATTTTTTTTTTTCATATGCCCTCCTTGTATAATAATGAAGCTTATTATGCATAGATTGAATATATTGCAAGGTAATATACATCATGATAGATTTATGCTTCATTTGGGATAGCAGTTGGTGGCTGTTTTTTTTTTTTCCTTGCTTTGAAAAAATTTTGTACAAAAAAGCCGCTTTAAAAAGCAGTTAGAAAACTATCCCAAACAAAATCTTGAGTGTCAAATTTGTTATGGCACTACAAATTAATATGAATAAAGACTTAGGCTTCGTTTGGGACGGCTTTTTTATTGCTTTCTAAAAAGGAGTTTAGTATAAAAATAAAAAAAATTTGTACTAAAACTCCATTTTAGAAAGCAATAGAAAAGCCATCCCAAACGAAGCCTGAATCACCTAAAAATTTGTAGAAGAGTATAAGAAATAATTTTGTTCAAGATTGAATGTGAAGGATTTAAATAAGGATTTGAAATTTAATTATATTTGAAAAATATTCTAATAATAAGTTTTGTAGCTATTAGGATAGTATGTCCCTCAATATTCATAAGAAAATTTGAGGAGAATATTAATAAATCTAGTCACCTGTGAGCAATAAATAATTATTCTCAGAAATTTATTTATTCATTTATAATGTGCCCCTCCCTCCTTCCTTCTTGCGCTTAAAACTGCTGCTTGTTTCCGTGGTCAGTGCACGGAAACTGACAACAGGAGAAGATTCGATCGGAAATCGACACAGAAACCCTAATTCTTCCCTTCCAAGCCCCTTCCGAAGTTCGATCCCAGCGAGAAAAAGGATAGGTAAGGTGCTTTCTTCTACCCTCAATCGATGGGACAATACAACCCCAAACATTAGAATAAAGCCACCCTCTCCCTCTCCGCCTTCACTTATTTAGGGCTGTTTGGCAACAAGTGGGATTTAACTTTAGTGGAATTTAGTAAATCTTGTAAATCCGGATTTAGCAAATCCGAAATGTGTTAAATTCTGAAAACTGTTTGGTATGCTAAATGTTAAATCCTGTTAAATTCGAAGAAACTGTTTGGTAACATATTTCAGGATTTATAGCAGTTAGGCATTTAAATGTGAAGAAGATAATTATAACTTAAAAATAAATTTATAATTAAAAATAAAAAATATAATGTGTTATAAATTTAATAATATGTTAAGTACAAATTATTCATTAATTAGTATTTATACAATTAATTATATATTTAATAATAGATATATTAAGTTATATTAATTAATCTAATTATATTAATATTTAATTACTAACTATATAACTAAGTTAAATTAGATAATTAATTTATGCACTAATTATACAAATAACTATTTAATTAATTTACTTAAGTATTAATAATTTAAATTATATTAATTAAGTTAATCAATATTAGAGGCGAGTAGGGTTGCCTTTCATCTTCTCCTTTCGTCGTTGCTGTCCGGCTCCGTTGCTTTCGCAGGAGGTGTAGGGATTGCAGGCGTCACTTCTTCGGCTCCTTCGTGGCTGTTCGAGTTCGCTCCTGCGACGACTTCATCGGAAGTTACGACATTTTGATCGGAAGCAAGAACGGGAGCTCGCTGGCTGTGAAGGTAACTTTCTTCCTTTCGCGCGCTTCTTCGGATAAATCCCGCTCGGATTTACTAAATCCGGCTACCCCTCGGATTTACTAAATCCCGGATTTAAGCTGTAAATCCGTAAATCCGGGATTTACTGAATCCCGGGATTTAACGCGCGCACAAAAACTGTTTGGCTGGATTTAGCGTAAATCTGACTTAAATCCCGCTGTAAATCCGATACCAAATAGCCCCTTAGTTCTTTGAATCTAGCACAGTCTTCGTTCATTAAGGCTCGATCTAATGGAGGAATGCTTAGGAGAGCGGGGGAGATGGATTCTTGAGTTTTCTTTTTTGATAGTTAATAATCCAGGATCCCTGGATTACGTTTTTGATCTGATGAACAGCTGGGGTGGAATGTTTTGATGATAGATTGAGTTGCTAGGATTCCCGCATAGAGTGAATTTAACAGTACAGTGTGCATATCCATATTTTTTCCGTAATTTTTTTGTAAAAGGCAGATCTTAAAGATCGAGCATTCTATTGGTTATCTGCAGTTTCCTTCTACTGATACAGCATTGTAAGAGTGGAACGAAAGGAAAAGAGGAGATGAGAGAGAGACACGTGGCTATGAAGGAACAATGACTGGAGGGTCATTGGGTCTTCGCACGGGGAGTTATGGATCATTGCAACCGCAGCTACAGAACGGTGTTGCATTGCCAATTCAATCGACTTCGGTCTCTGCACGAAAACCTCCTAAGATGCTCCCTCTTGGATCAAGAGAAAAGGAGAAAATTATCCTGCCATGGATCTGCAAGTTCTGTGGTAAGAGGAAGGTTGGAATGCTACTTCTCCTCATAGCGTCAGTTGCAGTTTTCTTGTCATTCATTTCCGTTCTCAATAAAGGTTTGACCTTTCTCCTTCTTTCAGCTCTCTCATGTTATGTATGGTTTGGGCGTCCTTCATTAAATATATAACCATGAGGCAATTGACTTTTCTTGTTGCATGAATTTTATGAAGGCATTTATCAGTTGTTCCCTCCCGTCTTAGAGTCACAACAAAAACTTGCTTCATAGAGTCATAACAAAAAGCCATCTCATGCACAGTTTTCAACCTTCAGATGTTTATGAACTGCTGTAATTTGTGCCCCTCCTGTCATAGAAGTCACTCAAGCATTATTTCTGCATGATGCGCATGCACAAATTATTCAAAATTACGATATTTTCCATTTATTTTCAGATTCACTGGAAAATAATTGTATTCTAAACATGTAAGTGCTGTTTGGTTGCATGATTTGACTTAAATCTTGCAGAGAATTTTTTTTTTGATCATTAAATCCCATAGTCCTTGTAATCCCTTTTTCTCTCCGTTTTGTGCTAAATCCAGGATTTATTAAGAATTGGGAGAACCAGGATTTAGCAAAACTTAGGAGAACCATTATTTAAGCAATTTATTTCTACTTCTCTCTTGCTCACTATCAACTTAGACAACATGGATCCCTATCTCCTTTTCCTTCTCATGTTTCTCCTCCTCTCCTTTTTGGCATTTGCAAGGTTTTAGCTCGGTACTAGAATATTGTCTACACTCCAAGTACATGCTCTAGTTTTCCATGTTTTAGGTTAGCATAAATTTTGCTAAGAAAATTATTATTTGGAAATCATGCATTTAACTTTCTTTCCAACATATGTCCCATTCCAAATTTTGTATTGATAAGCTACACGCTAACAATCAATGTGACATTTAGTACATTCAATGTTTAATTAACTATTAGTGATGTAATTACTTTACTTATGCAATAGTAATTCCTTACTGCACATAATTAAACTATAATGGGTAGTCTAATTATGATTCATTTCATCCCTAACTAGCTTTAATAATATACTAATCAATAAATATGATTATTTAATATTCAATTAAAATTTCAAGTTTTTAATGCATCAAGTAAAGCCATATTACTTTCTAATTATCTAAGTTAAATATTATTAACTTCTAAATTACATATTAATTAAGTCCAGAGGATCAATAACCTCATAAATTTAGCTATTTAGTTTCTGGAAATTATAGCCAAGCAATTTATCAGCATTCAACCAAATTTAGCATATGCCAAGCTAAAGAATTTTTAGGGTTAGCTTGATTTGGCAGCTGCAATGGCCAAACGGTACTTAGGACAGAACCCCCTTAGGATTTACTAAATTCATAATTACAGGATTTACTTAATTTTGCTCGTGTTAAGTTCTATTTCTAGCCAAACAGACCCCTATAGGATAGCATACACATTTTACGTATAAAAGTATACTCATTTACTTGCAGTGTTACCTTAAAAAATTGATTTTCTTAAAAATAATGTTTTTATTTTTCATTATTGATTCTACAACAAAATATATATGATATATGTACATATTCATATTCGTTTAACACTCCTTGGTTTTTTACTGAGCCACCCTCTTACCCACTCATAAATTCAATGTGGGAGGGGCTTTCTTTATGGTTATGCAAATTACATATACAGTTTTTAATTGGTACCAGTGGTAATTAGCTGAGTTGACTGGTGCTTACATGCAACTGTCTGCTAAAACCGTAACGCTACTCTTGTTGTTTCTGTTTTACAACTATTATAGTTAGAACCGGTATTTGAAGTCTGTTACTGCTTGTTTCTGGATGGTAGCATATCTTATTTTCTCTCATAAAAGATGATTATGTTTTGTTATTGTTTTTTCTTCAGATGATGATGCATCTTCAGGTCTTGAGACTAATCTTTTTTCATCGGATAATGTCTGGACTATCACGAACCATGACATAAAATCACCATACACTTTGGGTAGCCCTTTGGCTTCAGTAAATAATGATATGGACAACATATCATCATCTGGATCTCAGTTTCCTGTTCCAATGTTTTCTCCTAGCATTCTTCCTGTGCGACATCCTTGTGAGAATATTTCCCTTTATCCTGTACAAATTGACAGAAAACGTACGGGCCCACGCCGTAAGTTTTTGGGGACTTTTTTGAAAGATTTCTATTATAGTTTGATTCAAATGCAGGCTAGTTTTTTGTTTTTAAATTATTCTTTTGTCTAGTTTCTTATGCTAATTATTCTTTTTGTTTTATCTTTTTAGCATGCCCGGTCTGTTATGTCCCTGTTGAGCAAGCTGCGTTCTACATGCCAGCTTTTCCATCAAAGTCACCTATCCTAAAGAATTTAACTTATGTTGTTGAAGAAAATTCATTTTCTAATGAGTCCAGTGGTGGCTTTATTTTTGGAGGACACCCATCATTAAGCCAGAGAAATGATTCTTTTGATATTAAGGAATCAATGACTGTGCACTGTGGGTATGATCATTATTTTCAGTTCTTATCCCTTTCCTATCCTTTTTTGTCTATGGTACTTTTATCTTAAATTTTACATTATTTTTAGGCTCCCGTTTACCTTTGTTCACTCTTTTCATTTGTTGTGCATTCATATATAACTGATTGCATCTTGCTTTTAGATTTGTCGGTGGCAAGAAACCGGGGCAAGGAACTGGATTTGACATTGATGACGACGATCTTCTAGAGATGGATAAATGCCACGGCGTAGTTGTAGCCTCAGCAATATTTGGTATGCTAAATTGGCCAGAGTTCCTCCTTCTTGTTAACTATCATATGCATTTCAGTTACGTTTGTCTTGTTGGTCAGGAAAATATGATGTAATGCAACAACCAAAAAACATCAGTGAAGTTTCAAAGAGATCAGTTTGCTTTTATATGTTTCTTGATGAAGAAACGGAAGCCTACATAAAAAACTTTAGTAGCGTGGACAGTACAAAAAGAGTGGGACTATGGAGAATTGTAGTTGTCCGGAACCTCCCTTATGAAGATGCTAGACGTAATGGAAAGGTATCTGTTTTTATTTTCTTTCAATTTAGCTTATTTTTTTGCATAGCCTCTTTAATACAACTTCCACTGATAATTTTCTTGAAGTAAATCAGCATAAGTGATTTGGAGAAGCAACAAAAATTCTGTTCAGATGTCCATTATAGAATATTTAAATATATTAATCTCTCAATCATGTCAAATGAGTGATGAATGATTTTGATTGACAATTTGGTTGCAGAAGATTCCTTCATTATTTAAAAAACTAGTTTTCTCCATGTTATATAAATGCATTCAGATATGATGCTAGATTGAGAATGAGTCTATTATACTCACTAAATCATCTTGTCCACAATTGCGTTGATGGTCGATAGAATGTTGTTGTCCTTGAAGCATGCCTAGTTTAATTTCATAAAGTAGATATACAATCTCTTATTGTTGTTGCTCTTTTTGGCAATAGCAAAGTTAGCGATCTATTATGAGTATTGGTACCATTTTGATGAACTTAGCCTCAAGGAGTTTGTTGACCTCCTTATTGATGAATTTTCTTATTATGTCACGTCTTTCTCTTCTTTATCATCTTAATGCTCGACAAGATGTTCAATCAGTGACATGATATGCTCAAATCTACTTTGGGTATCTTGGATGGCCTCATTAAAAAAATATTTAGTTTAATTTTTATGATTAATTTACTTTGTTAGAAATTTATCTTTGGGAGATTTGAAAGATCCAAATAGGTTTGTTCTCGAACGAAAGCACTTTTAGGACTTCAATAATTATAGATTTGATTTTTATAACTATCTGTGGTAGAATGGAAACTAGGTGAATTTAGCCTCAAGGAGTTTTATGACCTTCTTGTTGCTGAATTTGCTTTTTTCATCAACCACTCTTCCCTTTCCCTGCTTATCTTGCTTACTGCTTTGCTGGACTTTCAATCAATGACATAATATGCTCAAATCTACCTCAAGCATCTTATATGAGTCAAATGCAAAAATATCAAGGTTATCTCATACTAATGTAATTTACTTTGATAGAAAGTTACCTTTCAAAAGGAAACTAGTTTGGAAGGTCCATGTAGGATCCTTCTTTGACTTGACACCTTTGTGACACCTCAATGGGTTATAGTTCTTCACAGTTTTCAACAGTTGTTTATAGTAGGATGGATGGATTGAGCATTTGAGCTTAAATTCGATAACATATCCTGGATTGTACCAGCTCCTTTTCAAGATCCTAGTAAGGTTGTCACCTAATTGGCCATGTGATAGATTGATTTGACTTCTCAGAATACAATAAGGAGAGGCTTGCTGAAGATGGCGTTATATGTCATTGATAGTCTACTTGTATGGTCTTATAACATTGGTATCACCCAATGAATCAGTGTGAGTGATTCATCTATTGAATTGATTCGTGACCATCCTTTTATGCTCCACAAGTTCTTGGAATTGATGCCCAATTTGTCCATGCGTGAAGGAAGAGGATGCCCATCAAACCTTTAAGTTGATGAGGATCTGATGAACTTCAAACTTGTTGATCATAACCTTAACAACCACTTTGATGTAGTTGAAAGCATTGTTATTGGTTGGTAAGGCCTCATTTTAAAATTTATAGGACATGAGTTTGGGTCAATTTATTTCATTAGCCTATAAATGCTTGAGTGTTAGGAAGCTTCCAATTCGGCTTATACCAGCATCTTGTATATGACACCTGTCTATGGTATGGCTTCATTAACCTTGATTTATGAAAAACTTTTTTTTTGCTAGAATTGACACATTTTTGCTACAAATTCCTCTCAGGCGCCCCTCTTTCTATAGTTGCTCCAATGGGCACTACAGGTGATAATATTCTTCCATCTTATGGCCATGGCTGTTAATGAAAAAACTTAAATGGCCCTTTTTCTTGGGATTCCAAGTTTTGTTGGGCTATTTGAAATATTCCTTACCCTCAATAGCACCCAACAATTGGGTCAGATGATTAATCAAATTTAGGTAATGGCTCAGAGAGATAAGATGACCAAAGGTAAAAGGTCAAATGCTCCCAAGTGAGGCGGGCTCCTTTTAGAACCAGACATGTGACATCCACAAGAATTGATAATGTGATCATTTGCAGTATTTTATATTTTTACCTTTAGATGTGGACTAGATGCTGAGGTGGAGAACTAGAGATCCCCTAATGATCTCCTCGGCATTGATGTACCTGCTTGCCTTCTGTAGGAATAAAATAAAAAACTCGTTTGGATTTTTGGCGTCTGTGAACTTGAGATGGCCATTTCAACTCATGCATTTAGGCAACCTAGGTAATAGAGTATTTTAGATATATCCAATTTCTCTCGATTAAACAGTGATGTAAGCCCATGGGAAATTCATTCTTCCTCTTTCGTAGATAAATGTGCATTTGGTGGTGCTTTCTTGGCTTGATAGAGATAGTGAATTGATAACTACGTTGTTTTTGAGATCTTTTTAAATTGCACTAATTAGTGAAGCTTTAAAAGCCAATGAAGCACTGCATCCTTTATAGTAAAAGGACTCCACGCTTAACCACACCAGATACAATGGAGAGGGCTATCCTCAATACCAACGCTTAACCACACCAGATACAACAGAGAGGGTCATCCTCAATTCCAAGGAGTTGCTCTAATGGGTGCGCTGGACATCCATAAGGTTTCAACTAAGGAATCTTGCTTGTGCGGAATCAATTCCTTAATGATATCAGTTGTGAATGTTGATATAAATAGAGTGACGATTACATATAATCATGATCCCTCTGCCCTGATGAAAACTTGCTCTTTTTGTTCGACTCGAACTCTCTACAATTATGTGTTGAAATACCACTGGCCTTAATATTTCAACCACTGGGCTTTGCTCTTAGCTGTAGAGTAGTTTTCTTTTGCAACCACTCTATTTCGAACCTCCTATTTATGAATAATGGTGGCCCCTTGACCTACCATTACAAATTGTGCCAAATCATTGAGCTTGAAACTTAACTCATTTAACTAAACTTGGGTATCACAATCCAACCACCTTGGCTTTTATTTAGTGACTATTTATTTACACTTTCTTTCTTAGCATACAAAAGGTTTCGTAGCATCATCCTACTCACCGAGTATTCTTTTCTTTGTTCTCGCCATGATCTCAATGAGGGCACCAAGAAGGGGTGTTAAAATTTGATTTATGGACTAGAAAAAATTGAGAGAAAAATTGATGGGATTGATTACTTTTAGTAAAGATGGAGTGAGGATATGAAGGAAATGAGGGAGAGATGGATAAAGAGATTGGGAGTTAGACTTGTATTCAAGTGGCGAGCTCTTAGAGCAAATTTTTTGTTAATGCTTAAAAAGATGGGGCCATAGGAAGAAGAAGTCCAATGCTCGTGAGTTACATAGTATTTTTGGTCATGTTCTAGATCAAGCTTGTACTATGGGAGGCTCTTTTTTGTGGTTCAATCATTTCAGTTTGCACATGTCAATGACTCAAATGTAAAGCAAGATAAATCCTCTTTTCTGGTTAATGATTTAGGCTGGCAGATTTTAATTAATATCTCAACATGCAATATCACAGCAATTTGTCGCTTCAAGGACATGGACGACCAATGTTAATGATGTTCTTGCTTCTGGCAACTACATTCTCCTATGCATATATGACTCACGTTCTTTGAGTATTGGAGGAAGAGGGCATCCTACTTTTCTTAACCTTTGCGATGTGTAGCTTAAGATGCTTTAGTTCTTGATCTTTATTTTAGTTGGATGGAGCTTTCAAAGCTGAGCAAGGAGCCTCCTTGAGTTGTGGAGTCGACTCTACTGTTACTGCAAAGTCCCTGAGTTCTTAGTTGACCATGTTTGCCAAGTAGCAAAAGATTGAACTCTCTAGGTGCTTCGAGGCACATGAGCTCTTTTGCGCTCTCTTACCATATTGAATCCCACATCACTCTATTCCTATATTTCATGCACACGAGATATCTTGTCATACGTACATTTCTTATTATTTTGCTAGTGGGAGTAATTTTTTCTCATAATGAGAGTTACATATCTTTATCGACCATTTAAAGGACAACCTTACACTACCATTATTGGCATAATTGACTACCGTTTTGTGTAGCCTCTCCATTGTTTCACTGTAATTGATGCCCAATGCCATCACTATTGTCATCTATGTGGCTTGATCTGGAAGTGAATAGGATCAACTTGTCGATTGACCTTCTCCTTTGGATGTTTCAACTTAGGAGTGTTGCCTTTTGCTACTTCCTCTTCTACGAACCATGAAGGATTATGATGTTGGGGATCTTAAGATAAATTAGTAGGTAGAAGACATGTTGTTATCTTGTTGTAACCTCCCTTATTGGTGGCTTATGTATCTTTTCATTTACCACACTCAGATGCTCCAAATTAAGGACGATTAATGGCACTATTATGGAAGCTTTTGAGGCTCATAATGACATCCTTTGCGCATGAAGACACTCCTTTGGTGGCTAAGTCATCCAAATTCTTCTATGCTACAGACTAGTTGTCTAAGTATTAAAACTTCTCACTAAAGGAGCAAATGGGTAGCATCTAGGTGTGTATATGTCACACCCCATTTTGATCCCGTTCAGTCGACTTGGAGTGTAACAGATAGGGAGAATCCAAATAGATATACTTCTTAATAACACCAGCCTTGATCTAGTTCTGTCAGGATAAAATGAGTAGGAAATAGCCAATATAGACTATCCAAACACCTCAAGGTTTTTTTTTTATGTTTTAAGATTCTATCTCAACATTTATAATTGGAAGCATATTCAAAACACATTAAATAAAATCCATAGTTTACTAAACTTTCAAATAAAATTTAAATACCCTGCATAATTTCCTACTCTTGCTTTTATACACACCCAAAATGTATGTACATAAAAAATGCAGTCATCCTCTTGTCTGGAGTCCACTGGCTCTATACGGTTCCTAAGGCTTAGCTCGTCGGGTGTTTCTCCTTTATTTGTGCTGGTCTATCCCCTATAATATGACTTTTCTCATTTACATTTTCTTAACATACATTTGT